CCCGCCACCTCACCCGGCTAGTTTTTTGTATTTTTTAGTAGAGATGGGGTTTCACCGTGTTAGCCAGGATGGTCTCGATCTTCTGACCTCGTGATCCGCCCGTCTCGGCCTCCCAAAGTGCTGGGATTACAGGCTTGAGCCACCGCGTCCGGCCATGATGAACATTTTTAAATGTGAATGTTTGTATATATCCAATATACATTTGATAATTTCCTAATGATAAATCTCTTGGAGTAGAATTATTGGATCAAAGATTTTAAATATTTTCAAGATTTTCTTATATATTACCAAATTGGCCTCCAAAAGGGTGCACAGAATGATACATTTCTATAATCAGTAGAAATCCGTGTAGGAGGGTACCTATTTTACAGTACCTTTTCTCTAATAGAAGGTATTATCCTTAAAACAAACCTTTGCTTATCTTCTATACATTGGTTTAGATGATGTATTCTCTCATTTTTGTAAGTAATTTAAAAATTTTATAAAAGGATTATTTATAATATGTTTATATGTACCCAGAAAGCTAGTAGGGCTGGGTATGTTGGAGTCAATTGAGGTTGGAGTAAAGACTGCCTTAGGATTATCACTTCTTATTTTATAGACAGCTTATAAAAAGGTATATAATTGTAGATGCATTTTACTTTGTTTTATGTTTTTCTATATTTTTATATAGAAAACATTTAAAAAGAAGAAAAAAGAAATAGAAAAACAAAGGATATACTTCGGATTTTCAGTAGTAGGAGCTGACATTTTACTTTATGAATATTTATGTTATTTGCATTACCTGATGATTCAAATAAGATTGCCAGTTAAATGTGATGAATGGGGCATAATAAAAATTTGTCAATTGGAAGGACAAAAATGGATCTTACTCTTAATTTTCAGTTATTTGGTTATTTGAGAAATTGAAATCATTTTCATTTACTTATCCGTCATACATTTCTTCCTTTTTGAATTGTCTGTTTCTCTCCTCCATCCATTGTTACACCCTTCTTTAAACAAAACAAAACAAAACTATCCTCGAGTAGTATTTGTGACATCTGTACCATGTTGCAGGAATTCATGTATCCTGTTTCTTCTCTCTGGTTTTCATTGGGATCTCTTTTCATAATTTTGTTTGTTTAGTAAATCCTCGAGGATAGTCTTATAATCTAGTGAAGGTTGTGCTTAAGTTTAGTTTAGACAGTTCTGGTTTTATTTTACTGTTCTGAGCCTCTTTATTATAAGCTAAAACTAGTCTCTTTTTTTCAGACAGGGTAATGCTGTCTTCACCCACACTGGAGTGCAGTAGCACAATCAGAGCTCACTGCACCGTGAAATTCCTGGGCTCAAGTGAGTTTCCCACCTCAGCCTTCTGAGTAGCTGGGACTACAAGCATGGTCTACCATGCCCCACTAATTTTTTAATTTTTTGTGCAGACAGGATCTCCCTATTATTCCAGGGTGGTATTGAACTCCTGGGATCAAGGCATCCTCCCACCTCAACCTCCCAAAGTGATGGGATTACAGGTGCGAGCCACAATGTCCCGCCTTAAAATTAGTCTTAAAAAGATATTACATTATTTAAATTGCCCTATTTAAAAGTACTGCAGCGTACTGTGATACCTGGCACAGTGCTTTGATCTTATGATGCCCTCTGTACTGACCTGAAGGAGACGAAAGAGTCCTTTCCCTTTTTGAGTTTGAATCACAGCCTTGATGTGGTCTCTTGTTTTATGTCCTCGTTCCTAATGTAAAAGTGCTTAACTGCTTCTTGGTTGTATTGGGTAGCATTGGGATAAGATTTTAACTGGGTGTTCTTGAATTGCTTTTACAATAAACCAATTTTATAATCTTTAAATTTATCAGCTTTTTACATTTCTGTTCTTTTCAGTCAGGGCTTCTTAGATCTACTTATGGTTGATAGAGCACATTGATTTGGAGTTTCAGATCTTCCAAAGCACTGTTTGTTGTAATAACTATTTTCTAAATACAGTGCCTTTAAAGGAAAAATGAACACAGGGAAGTGACTTTGCTACAAATAATGTTGCTGTTTTAAGTATTCATATTAAATACATGCCTTCTATATGCAACATGGCAGAAAGACTGAAAAATAACAGTAATTAATTGTGTAATTCAGAATTCATACCAATCAGTGTTGAAACTGAAACACTGCAAAAGTAGGTGGCAATATTCAGTGCGTAACAATTTTATAGCGTTAGTATATCTGAGAAATGAGTGCTCAGGTGGATTTATCCTTGCAAGCATGTTTTTATAAGAATTGTGGGTATGCCTATTGTAACAATTGTTTTCTGTATCTTGAAAAAGTATTCTCCACATTTTAAATGGGTTTATATTAGAGAATTCTTTTTTTTTTTTTTTTTTTGAGATGGAGTCTCACTCTGTCGCCCAGGCTGGAGTGCAGTGGCGCGATCTCTGCTCACTGCAAGCTCCTCCTCCCAGGTTCACGCCATTCTCCTGCCTCAGCCTCCTGAGTAGCTGGGACTATAGGTGCCTGCCGCCATGCCCGGCTAATTTTTTTTTTTTTTTTTGTATTTTCAGTAGAGACGGGGTTTCACCATGTTAGCCAGGATGGTCTTGATCTCCTGACCTCGTGATCCGCCCGCCTTGGCCTCCCAAAGTGCTGGGATTACAGGCGTGAGCCACAGCACCCAGCCTTGTTTTTGTTTTTAATTTTAACCTTTCTACTACACATATAGTGACATCTCACCCTATATTAGAGAATTCTTTAATGCACACTTGTCAAATATGTATTTGTAGTACCAATGTTACCTTTTTATTTTTTGTTTTAGATATAAGAGCATGCTCATATGTTAGGTAGTTACATAAATTGTTACATTAGTTTTTCTTATGTAATACCTTTTTGTTTATGTGGTTCAAATATGTTCTTTCCTTAAAAAAAAAAAAAGTACTGCAGCACCTTTAAGTTCCACATGCAGTTGGAATTATAATTATGTAGCATAATTATATAGAACTTTGGAGCTAGAAGGAATCTAGAGGTCATCTAGGCCGGGGATTGCAGTTTCTCCAAGAGATTCAGAGGGCCGCGTTAGGCCTATAGAATTTGTTTGAACAGCACAGTTCATTTTGTTTTACCTTGTTTTGTTTTGTTCTTAATGTAAATTTGAATGCCTATCGGCATGCTCTTTCCAATTTGCCACAATAACTGTCTCTCCAGATTTTCTTATGCTTGCCAGCTTCACACATTTAATGTTGTCTGCTTGGTCCCCAAAGGTATTTGAATTCTTGGCCCTAATAGCCTTATCTCCTTACTTTATAAATAGTGAAACCCACACTCTGAGAAATTAAGCACTTTAAAAATGAGCATACTACTAAATATTGCTAAGAATAATAATAAACATCTGTTTTACACTCACGGCTTATAGTTTGCATTCATTGACTCATTTATTACTCATAACAACCATTTGGGATTTATTATTCACATTGTATTACTGATGACACTGAAGCTCAGACAGGTTAGTGAATTTCATCAAGGTTGCTTAACCAATTACATTAAAAGAATATAGTACCAAATTAGATAGTATTTTATCAGTGTTAATTTTCTGATTTGATAATAGTTAAAAGGAGAATGTTTTTCTCTTTTAGGAAATATACATTAAAGTACTTAGGGGTAAAAGGACATCATGTTTGCAGTTTACTTGTTCAGTTCAGAAAAACTAGAGAAAGACTAGACAAGCAAATGTGATAAAATGTTAACATTTGAGTAATCTGGGTGAAGAGTATATGTACTATTTTTGCAACTTTTCTGTCAGTCTGAAATTATTTCAAAATGAAAGTTAAAAAAAAAAAGAAAAGAGTTTCCAAACCTAGGTATTAGGCTATTAAGCACATTCATGCTATTATTCTACTTTTGGGAAATGTTGAATTAGCATTTCTTCTTCCTTTATTTTTCAGTTAAAAGTATTCAATAATTTTTCAGTGAAAAGCATTGCAACAGTTAAAAGTATCATATAATTTGTATGATGGTTTTCAAAATATGAGAACATGATTGAATACTTCTTTTTGACTAACTCTAAAAGACTGTATAGGTTAAAAGTTTTTTTGTTTGTTTTGTTTTGAGATGAAGTCTCACTCTGTTGCCCAAGCTGGAGTGTAGTGGTGCAACCATAACTCACTGCATAACTCAGACTGCAACCATAACTCAGACTCCTGGGCTCAAGTGATACTCCTGCCTCAACAAAGGTAGTATTGTTCAGCAAAATTTTTGTGTAACTTTTCTGTTTTTTGTGTATTCTACAGCCTAAATCTGTCATTGTTGGATTAATTAAAGAAATGATTGCCAAGTTTCAAGAGGAACTTCCGCTGTATTCTGTACCATCATCTGATGAGGCACGGCAGGTAGACTTGCTAGCCTATATTGCAAAAATCACTGAAGGTTTGTATATTTGTCAGGCAGACTGTCTTGAGAGTTATGAGTTACCAGTTTCTCACAAAAATAATTTACTTTCTGCCACTTGATTTTTATAAATAAATTTGTGTGCATATGTACATCTGTTTTTGAAATAAGAAATTCCTGTGCCTCAGGCCAGGCACGGTGGCTCACCCCTGCAATCCCAGGACTTTGGGAGGCTGAGGCAGGCAGATCACCTGAGGTCAGGAGTTCGAGACCAGCTTGGCCAACATGGTGAAACCCCATCTCTACTAAAAATAAAAAAATTAGCTGGGCGTGGTGGCGGGTGCCTGTAATCCCAGCAACTCAGGAGACTGAGACAGGAGAATCACTTGAACCCGGGAGGCAGAGGTTACAGTGGACTGAGATTGAACAACTGCCCTCCAGCCTGGGCAACAGAGCAAGACTCCATCTAAAAAAAAAAAAAAAGAAAGAAATTCCTTTGCCTCTATCATAGGATATTACCATGTAATGCCAATAAATATTTTTTATTTGTTTGTTTATTTTTTTGAGATGGAGTCTCGCTGTGTCGCCCTAGGCTGAAGTGCAGTGGTACCATCTGGGCTCACTGCAACCTTTGCCTCCTGGGTTCAAGCGATTCTCCTGTTTCAGCCTCCCATGTTGCTGGGACTACAGGCATGCCCAGCCAATTTTCGTATTTTTGATAAGGATGAGGTTTTGCCATGTTGGTCAGGCTGGTCTTGAACTCCTGACCTCAGGTGATCCTCCCGCCTTGGCTTCCCAAAGTTCAGGGATTACAGGCATGAGCCACCGTGCCTGGCCAGGTTTCTAAAAGTGTAAAGAATTAGTGTTAAGCAGATAAAACAATTCTTGTATTGTTCAAAACCACTTGACATATGTTAATGATCCCAAACCTTTTTCATGATATGTATATGTAGCTTGTTGGCTTATTCAGTATATTGGACCAGAATATCTATGCTTCTTCTTGATTCTCATTAAGGATGAAAGCAAATACCTATGTTTGAAACATTTTGGTAAGGTGTTAGACATATTTTTTTATTGTAGACCAGAGTAATGAGTTGGAATATTTTTCAGAATTATGGAAATCCTACTTTTTTAGAGTCTTATATATTTTAAAAGTGTTTACAAAGATACGTTCTCTTTAGAAGGATAATTTCTATTTAGTCGAATATTTAATAGGAGATGTCTATCTTCCTTGCATTCATTTGTTCAGTAGTATTTTTTGCCCATTATGGAGTAGCATCATATTTTCTCTCTAAGCTATGAAGCCTGCTATATATTTTTTTAAAAGATCCTAAAAAAATTGTTGATATTTTTGAATTCTCAGGATAATTCATGTTTCTTTCTAGGTGTTTCAGGTATAAATTCAAAGAGCTGGGCAAATCATGAGAATAAAACAGTCAATAAAGTTACTGTGGTTGGAGGTGGAGAGCTGGGTATTGCCTGCACATTAGCAATTTCAGCAAAGGTATGTAAACATAGTGCTTATAAAGACATCTATCATAGTGCCACACTTCTAGGCAGGTTATGTTTTACACACCAAAAAATGCCTTCATTTTGTCATGTGGGAAAACCTTATTTTGGCTTAAAATATATTTAGTAAGTTGACAAAAAAAAATAGCTGAAAGCTTTCATAAGTGATGTTGCCTCTTAATTAGTAGTTAGACTTAGAAAAAGTGATTTGAACAATGGGCTTATCCTCATCCAAGGGAAACCTCAACTTGACATTCATATGACTTAGTCACAAATTCTTTTGTATTTTCTGAATCATGCCATTTTAATTAAACTCTAATATAATAATTTCAGCTCTTCCTAAAATTAGCTTTTTAAAAAAAAAAAGATTGCCTTTTCTTATATAATTACTTTCTTTTAGGATCATAGTTTCTGAGTTGATATGTTATACTAGTTTAGGGTTTATTTTTTCATCAGTCCTTTTCACTAGTCTCTGCATAAATTGTTTGCAGAAAGGCTTAAATTCCTTTCCAGAGAGGTTCAAAAGACCTGCCTGCCTCCCTCCAGAGCCCAGTATCATGATAACAGCATGTCTTTTGTCATTTGAGAGATGTAGCCCTGAATAGAATAGCTGTCCCTCTATATATTTATTTGGTGGCTGGCATTAGTTTTTCTTTTCTGTATATATTGGATTGTTTTGCCATCTAAATTCTTCCCTTTCCATTTAAGACTCACATATGTCTTGGAGGTGGGTTCTACTTGAGCCAAAACTAATTTAGGTATCCCCCCCCCCCCCCCCAAAAAAAATGAGTTAGAATATCTTTTTTTTTTTTTTTTTTTTGGGCGGCTAGTCTCGCTCTGCGCCCGGTTGGAGTTGCCTGTGGCGGATCTCAGGCTACTGCAAGCTGCCGCTCTGCGGGTTCACGCATTCTCCCGGCTCTAGCCTCCCCGGGAGGCTGGGGACTACAGCGGCCCGCACTCGCGGCCGGCTGTAGTTGTTGTTGCTTTTATTTTTAGTAGAGAGGGGGTTTCACCGTGTTAGCCAGGATGGGTCTCGATCTCCTGAACCGTGATCGCCGTCTCGGCCGGGCGCCAAAGTGTGGATTACCAGGCGTGTTGACCACCGTCGCGCAGCCCAGGAGGTTAGGAATATCTAAAAAGCTGGCTGCTCACGAAGTGTAAATTATGCCAACTTTTGGGCAATACTAGAGGTTTTAATTTGTGTTCCCCTCCATTGTTGGGAACTACGCTATAATACGGACTATACCCCCTGCCTCTTTTTTTTTGAGGGTGGAGTCTTGCATTGTCGCCCGAGGTTGGGAGTGTAGTGTGTGACGATCTGGGCTCCACCACGCAGCCTCTACCCTCCTGGGTTCAGCCGATTCTCCTGCCTGCAGCCTCCGGAGTAGAGCTGGGACTACAGGCATGCGCCACGACGCCAGATAATTTTTTATTTTTAGCAAGAGATGGCGTTTTGCCCAGCGTTGGCCAGGCTGATCTCGGAACCCTGACTCAAGTGGATCCACCTGCCCTGCTCCCAAAAGTGCGGATTACAAGGTGACGGCCCACCGTACCATGCGCCTGCTGATTACCTGCTTTGTTTTTTTTTTTTTTTTTTTTGTGAGACGGAGTCTTGCTCTGTCGCAGGGCTGGAGGTGCAGTGGACCGGATCTCAGGTCACTGCAAGCTCCGCCTCCCGTGGTTTATTGCCATTCCCTGCCCTCAGCCTCCCGAGTAGTGCGATCTACAGGCGCCTGCCACCTTGCCCGGCTAGTTTTTTGTATTTTTTAGTAGAGACGGGGTTTCACCGCGTTAGCCAGGATGGTCTTGATCTCCTGACCTCGTGATCCACCCGTCTCGGCCTCCCAAAGTGCTGGGATTACAGGCTTGAGCCACCACACCCGGCCTGCTATTACCTCTTAATTAGAATTTGAGTTGTATTCAGTCTTTTGTCCCTAAATAAATGCTTCTGTAGACATTTCAAGTTGCTTATTTTTTCATCTGCATTTTTATTTGGTCATACATTATTTTATTTTATTTTATTTTATTTATTTATTTTTTTATTTAGACAGGGTCATGTTCTGTCGCACAGGCTGGAATGCAGTGGTGCAATCTCAGCTTACTGCACCTTCCGCCTCCCCAGCTCAAGCCATCCTCCCACCTCAGCCTTCCAAATAGCTGGGCCTATAGGCGCCAGCCACCATCCCCACTAATTCTTGTATTTTTTGTAGAGACAGGGTTTCGCCATGTTTCCCAGGCTAGTCTTGAATTTCTGGGCTCAAGCAATCCTCTTGCCTCAGCCTCCCAAAGTGCTGGGAGTACAAGCATGCCCCACTGCACCCAGCCTGGTTGTACATAATTTTAAAAAATAGTACTAGTGAGTCAGAGGGCATGAATGGTTTTTATAGCACTTATGACATAGTGTCAGATCGCTCTTTGGAAAGGCAGAGCTAATTTATGCTGCTAATAACATGCACATCAACCGATTTTTTACATCCCTAACAGTACTAAGTTTTATTTATTTGTAATTATTTGTAGAAAATCATGGTTTTTCGTTTTTGTTTTTGAGACCAGGTTTCTCTCTGTTGCCCAGGTTGGAGTGCACTGGTGTGATCATGGCTCACTGTAGTCTCTATCTCCTGGGCTTAAGAGATCTTCCACCTCAGCTTCCTGAGTAGCTGGGACCACAGGGGTGTGCCACTACACCTAGGTAATTTTAAATTTTTTTGTAGAGATAGGTCTCCCTGTGTTGTCTAGATTGGTCTTGAACCCCTGGTTTAGACTATCTTCCTGCCTTGGCCTCCCAAAGTGCTGGGATTACAGGCCTGAGTCATTGCTTCTGGCCATGTTTTTAAACTGTTAGAAGAATCTCACTGTCATTATTTGTCTGTGAATTGTCTGGGTGGAAAATTTGCCATTTTTGGGCTGGGCCCGGTGGCTTACACCTATACTCCCAGCACTTTGGGAGGCCATAGCAGGAGAATCACTTGAGCCCAGGAGTTTGAGACCAGCCTGGGCAACACAGCGAGATCCCCATTTCTATAAATTTTTTTTTTTTTTTTTTTTTGGAGATGGAGTCTCACTCTGTCTTCCAGGCTGGAGTGCAGTAGCATGATCTCAGCTCACTGCAACCTCCATATCGCGGGTTCAAGCGATGCTTCTACCTCAGCCTCCTGAGTAACTGGGATTACAGGCACGTGCCACTATACGCAGCTAATTTTTGCATTTTTAGTAGAGAGGGGGTTTCGCTATGTTGGGCAGGCTGGTCTTGAACTCTTGACCTCAGGTGATCTGCCTGCCGCAGCCTCCCAAAGTGCTGGGATTACAGGTGTGAGCCACTGCACCCGGCCTACAAAAATTAAAAATTAGCCAGGTGTGGTGGTGCACACTGGTAGTCCCAGCAACTTGGGTGGCTGAGGATTACTTGAGCTTGGGAGGTTGAGGCTGCAGTGAACTGTGATTGTGCTGCTGCACTCTGGCCTGGGCAATACAGTGAGACCCTGTCTCAAAAAAAAAATGCTGTTTTTCTTTTTAAACATCAATATTTTGATACAAAGTACAATATGCATAAGCCACTATTATGACTGCAACAGTGATAGCACTCATAATAGTGGCAACAAAAGTGGTGGTAGCAGCAGTAACTAACCTTTACAGAATGCTTATTAGGTAACAGGCACTTGTCTAAACATTTGACTCTTTTTGTTTTTTCTTGAGATGGCGTTTCGCTCTGTTACCCAGGCTGGAGTGCAGTGGTGCAATCTTTTTTTTTTTTTTTTTGAGACGAAGTCTCTCCCTGTTGCCTACGCTGGATTGCAGTGGCACGATCTCAGCTCACTGCAACCTCAGCCTCCTGGGTTCGAGTGATTCTCTTGCCTTACCCTGGGATTACAGGCGCCCATTACCACACCTGGCTAATTTTTGTATTTTTAGTAGAGACGGGGTTTCACCATGTTGGCCAGGCTGGTCTTGAGCTCCTGACCTCAGGGAATCTACCTGCCTCAGCCTCCCAAAGTGCTGGGATTACAAGCGTGAGCCACTGTGCCCGGCTAGTGGTGTGATCTTGACTCACCACAACCTCTGCCTCCTGGGTTCAAGCGATTCTCCCACCTCAGCCTCCCAAGTAGCTGGGATTACAGGTATGTGCCACCATGCCCGGTTAATTTTTGTACTTTTAGTAGAGATGGGATTTCACTGTGTTGGCTAGGCTGGTCTGGAACTCCTGACCTCAGGTGATCCAGACTCGCCTCGGCCTCCCAAAGTGCTGGGATTACAGGCATGAGCCACCATGCCTGGCCCACCTGACTCATTTTTATAATAACCCTTTGTTTAGGTACTGTTATTACTGCCGTTTTACAAATGAAGAAACAAAGGCATAGGGAGGTTACCCAAGTTGCTCCAAATCACACTGTTAATAAATGATGAAGCAAGAACTTAAAGACCAAGTAATCTGTTTATCAGAGCCTGTATTATAGAGCCTTACTACTCAAAGTGTGGCTTTCAAACTAGCAGCATTGGTACCACCTGAGTTCTTGCTAGCAATGCATAATCCAGGCCCCTTCCCAGACCTACTGAAACAAAATCTGCTTTTTTTTTTTTTTTAAATTGAGATGGAGTCCCACTCTGTCCCAGGCTGGAGTGCAGTGGCATGATCTCCACTCACTGTAACCTCCACCTCCCGGGTTCAAGAGATTCTCCTGCCTCAGCCTCCCGAGTAGTTGGGACTACAAGCACGTGCCACCACGCCCGGCTAATTTTTGTATTAGAGACAGGGTTTCACCATGTTGGCTAGGGGGCTCTCGAACTCCTGAGCTCAGGCAGTCCACCTGCCTTGGCTTCCCAAAGTGCTCAGATTCCAGGGCTAAGCCACCATGCCTGGCCAAAATCTGCATTTTAATAAAATCCCTGGTTATAATATATGCTTCACTGATTGATTACATGGTGATATATTAAAGCTTTTTCAATCTCTGCTATAAACCACTATATTATATTGTCTCATTGTTGTTACTGATGAACATTTTGTTGTTCCTAGTCTTGTGAATATCCTTAATATTGTATTCTTTTACGCATGTACTGATAAATTTGTAGGATGATTTCTATAAATGAATCGATGGATTAAAGGAGTTAATGTTTTAAATTTTTGATAGAAAATTGTCAATTATCTTTTATTAATTATACCAGTTTATTGCCATACCCATAATATGTAAGAATACTTATTTTCCCACAACTTCTGCTAAACTTTTGGATTATTTTGTGCCTTATAAATGAAAATAGTAACTCATAGTTTTCTTTGCATTTTCCTTATGGGTATAGTTAGCATAAAATTAATAACTATGTTTTAGAGGGGATTACTATATGTAAGCCCTGTGTCACATAATTAATCCTTATAACCACATAAAGTAAGGCCGAATTCAGTGACTGTCCTGGTGTCGCATAGCTAATCCATAGTGTAGCAGGGTTATTTTCTTTCTTTGTGTGTGTGTGTTTGTGTGTGTGGAGATGGGGTTTTGCCATGCTGCCCAGGCTGGTCTGAAACTCCTGGGCTCAAACCTATGCCCATCTGTCCTTCCAAAGTGCTGGGATTACAGATGTGAACCACCATGCCCAGCCAGGGTTGTTTTCTTAACCATCATACTTTCTGCCTGATAGTCTGGTAGATCTTTGGGTACTTTTGCCCATGAATCCTAAAATAGGAGATATCCTCAAGTCTCCTAGTACTTTGGAGAAAGACCTTCCATAAAGGTAAACTGATTTTTAGGAATTTCTATGCTGTTATTTACAGTCTGCCCACTGTGCCATCCTATTTAGAGACATGTGGAGTATTTTCCATGAGATCTCTGGGGAGAGTACTGCATGATAATAGGATTTGATTTTAGATTTTATAGCTATTATACTTTTTTTTTTTTTTAAGAAAAAGCTGGCCAGGCATGGTGGCTCACGCCTGTAATGGCAGCACTTTGGGAGGCCAAGGCAGGCAGATCACGAGGTCAGGAGATCGAGACCATCCTGGCTAACATGGTGAAACCCCATCTCTACTAAAAATACAAAAAAAATTTAGCTGGGCATGGTGGCGAGCACCTGTAATCCCAGCTACTCTGGAGGCTGAGGCAGGAGAACGGCGTGAACCCGCGAGGCAGAGCTTGCAGTGAGCCGAGATCGCACCACTGTACTTGAGCCTGGGCGACAGAGTGAGACTCCGTCTCAAAAAAAAAAAAAGAAAAAGCTGGCATTATTTTTTAACTTTTCTGCTATAAATAAGACACCCAAATAGACCCAAAAGCTCTTTCGGAATGAAAATAACATCAAAATGAAAACATAAATTAAGAGCAATAGCAGAAGTATTGAGTGCACCAAGTCATCTTTATTAACTCATCCCATTAAAAGAAACCTGCAGGGGCCAGGCATAGTGGCTCATGCCTGTAATCCCAGCACCTTGAGAGGACCAGGTGTGATGCACGTTGCCTGAATCGTACTCAGGCTGGCTGAGGCAGAAAATATGTTTGAACCTGGGGAGGTGGAGGTACCATGCTGAGCTCGTGCTACTGTACTCAGCCTGGGTGACAGAGCAAGGACTCCTCCTCAAAATAAAAAAAAAAGAAAGAAAAAAGGATAAGCAAACCTGCAGAGCGGGCGCAGTGGTCTCACACCTGTACTTCCAGCACTTTCGGAGACCAAGAGCAAGGCATCACCTGGAGGTCAGGAGTTCATGACCAGCCTGGTCAATATGGTGATACCCCGTTCTCTACTAAAAATACAAAATTAGCTGGGCATGGTGGTACATGCCTGTAATCCCATCTACTTGGGAGGCTGAGGCAGGAAAATCACTTGAACCTAGGAGGCAGAGATTGCAGTGAGCCAGAGATCATACCATTGCCACTCCAGCCCTGGGCGACGAGTGAAACTCCGTCTCAAAGAAACCTGCAACTCGTGACTGGGTGAGTTAAGCCCTGTGTAGAACTTTTAGTAGTCAAGCCTACAGGATTACTTATTGAAGTTCGTAATTTTTTTTTTTTTTTTTTTTGAGATAGAGGTCTCCGTCCGCCCAGGCTGGAGTGCAGTGACACGATCCTTGCTCACTGCAATCTCTTCGCTCTGGTTCAAGCAGTTCTCCTGCCTCAGCCTTCCTGAGTAGCCGTGGGATAAGCATGTGCCACCATGCTCGGCTGGTTTTTGTTTTTTAGTAGAGACGGGGTTTCGCCATGTTTGGCCCAGGCTGGTCCTTGAACTCACTCAGGTG